GCACCAGCGATGCCTCAATTCTGGGTGTCGGCGTGAACCGCCCGGTGCCGTCCATGGCCTATCTCCCGAGCACTAGATCCCATCGACTATGAAGCTCCCAACATCGATTAAATTATTGATGGTTGCTACTTGCTGCCCGAACATGGGTATATAGTGAATTTTGTTACTCCCTCCGTATTTCGTATTTTAATGTATAACGCCGTTGACTTTTTGATTAATGTTTGACCATTCGTTTTATTCAAAATTTTCGTGCAAATATGAAAATATTTATATCATGCTTAAATAACATTTGATGATGAATCTAGTCACAATAAAATAAAGGACAATTGCGTAAATTTTTTGAATAAGATGAATGGTCAAACGTTGGATAAAAAGTCAACGGCGTCATATATTAAAATATGGAGGTAGTATAAAAAAGTATATATTGATTTGTTTTCTCTGAAGTATATATATGCTAAAGTGATGAATTGTGTGATCCATGGATAGTAAGTATGGATGCTTCTTGCCAGATTTGTTGTTGGTGCCTGCTTGCTGATTCTTCGTACTGCTGGAATTGGTTGTTACTTCCTACTAGAACTGTTGTTGCCTGCTGAACTGAAGTTGGTGTTGCTGATATGATTGTGTGATAATTGCAGCTGCCTGAACTGGATATAAATTTGGAAATAAAAGGATTTTCAGTCATGAAATTTCTGCACATAGCAGCATTTCTTTTCCTTTGATATACTTAGTAGTTTGCAGCATTTGAACCCTGATATGGCAAGTGTACAGCTTATATGCTGCTGGAATTGCTACTGGAGCTGTTGCTTGTTGCTGCTGCTTATGTTTGATGCTGAAAACTAAAAATTGCTGGAACTGTTGCTTCTACAAATTGTTGTTGCTGGAAAGGCTGCTGCTGAAAATTGAAAATTGTTGCAAGTTGCAATAGTTCATCGTAGTTTATATAGTTTACCAAGTTCATGCACTCTATTGCCTACAATTATTGTTGGATGGGAAAAAAAGGAGAATTCAAGTTTAGTAAAATTCAGCTTCAGAATCAAGATTCAGAATTTTGACTTCTTGTTTCACTAGAGTACAAATTGATTACACATTATCCACGTTAAATCTACTACTTGTTGCTGTTGAAATATACGTGCAAAGGTTTTGACAAGTATTTGGATGAAGTTGCTTCAACAACTCATCTCTATCTCTACTTGTTCCTTCGGAGAGGAATAAGAGGCGGCAGGACAAGAAGATTGCTCAACGACGAATAGGGAGGGTAGGGAAGCTGGGGGATGCCCAGCCAAGGAGAGCATCGTAAGGATCGATCTCGCTGGATCGCGTGGAGAGGAGCGACACCGATCGGTGATCTAGTGCGATAACTGGTCGCTTGGCCGAGCACGATCTCGCAGCAAGGAAAGGGGAACAAATTTCTGTTGGTAGTTTTGTCTGGGTCCACTTTTAGTTTTTAGGAAGTCAATTTTAGCTAATCTTTTGGAGGGATTACTATTTTTACACCTTAAACTTTGTTTGGCATTCCCATAAAAAATATTTTGGGGATGAAATATATGGATACTGTTGGTGATGCTCTGATAGCTAGTCGGTTGGAGCACGCTCTCTTGGCTTGGTGGAGATGCTCCGAACAAGCAAAAGCCTAAGCCTAAGGCCGTGTTCTTGCCCCAAGTTTCCCAACCCATCTCTCTCGTTTTCCGCCCGCACGTTTTTCAAACTGCTAAATGGTGTGGTTTTTGTAAAACGTTTATATACGAAAGTTGCTTAAAAATTATATTGATCCATTTTTTTATTAAAAAAATAGCTAATACTTAATTAATTACGTGCTAATGGACTATTCTGTTTTCCGTGCGCACTATTCGGATAGGAACCTGGACCGGCGAACACAGCCTAAGTACCATTTTCATAACAGTTTCAATCTCTTTTAACCAATAAAAAGTGCCATTTCCCCCCCCCCCACCCCCCTTGCACTAGTTACAAAGAACTTCCAAAAGTAAAACAATTGTACTCAGCTCTAGGACAAGTAACCCAGTACCCCCTTTGTACCACGTTTGTACCCATCAGCATCAAGAAAGGTACACGACGTTTGATCGATCTCTAGGACAAGTTTCGCAAGTTTCCCGGTTCCTTGCCTCCATAGTTGACACTCCTCGTGGGTGGGTGCCTTCTGCCTTGTGCAAGTGTAACCCGCACACGGTACACATGCTAAGCATATCCCCTGCATTTTCTGTCATGTGTTCATCATGCCTAAAAAATTGCCAACTAGCGCAAAACTAGGAGAGGAAAAGATAAGATTGAGAAAGATACATAAAATGAGGTGAACCGTTAGCGTATAATTAATTAAATATTAATTATTTTAAATTTAAAAATAAATTAATATGATTTTTTAAAGCAACTTTCATATATAATTTTTTTTAAAAAATATACCGTTTAATAGTTTGGGAAGTGTGTACGTGGATTACGATAGAAATCTTCTCAATGTACTACTGCCGATTGCAGCCTAACTATAGCTTTGTGCAGAAGCAATGACACAATTTCAAGACTTGGAGTGTCGCAATTTTCTAGCTCAACATGTTAGGAGTCAGGGTACATCATGTCCTGATGAATTAGGGCGTGTTTATTTGGGGAAAAGAAAATTTTTTGATGTCACATCGGACGTTTGACCAGATGTCGGAAGGGATTTTTGGACACGAATGAAAAAACTAATTTCAGAACTCGCTGGGAAACCGCGAGATGAATCTTTTGAGCCTAATTAAGCCGTCATTAGCACATGTGGGTACTGTAGCACTTATGGCTAATCACGGACTAATTAGGCTCAAAAGATTCGTCTCGCTATTTCCCCCGTAACTGTGCAATTAGTTTTTCTTTTTATTTATATTTAATACTCTATGCATGTGTCTAAAGATTCGATGTGATGTTTTTGGGAAAAACTTTTTAGGAACTAAATGGACCCTTATTTGAGACAACAAAGTAGTAACCTCTTGGAAGAAGCATATGAAATGCAATCAAGGAAGCTAAGGGCAAAAATAAGCTCATGTCCCATAATGAAATGTTGTGAGGACTTTTCTTTTTGGACCATATGAATTTTCTTGTATAACTCTAGGAACTGGAATGATCCTTTTTTTTTGTGTGTGAAATTCATGAAGTCAAACAATCCCTGAATTTTAACTCTTAATAAATGATAAAAACCAATAATTGTGGAAGTAATTTGGACGATTTTATTTTCAATGACGTGGATAAATTTAGGAATTTTGAGGTAGTGCAATAAAGCCTCCCAGTAATTTAGTCTTCTAATGGGATCGTTGTACTGATTTTTTTTCTCACGTCAACAGCACACCAATTGGCTAATTATCGTTACATTTAATATTTAAGCTGCAAAGTGACATCTGAACTATCATGATTATCTGTCATAGCACTGCAGCAAAAGAAAGACAAAAAAGAGACCATCTTGAGTTCTTGACGCAAGCATTATTTTTAGTAGCATTTAGTTTGGTAATATGTTGGGATATAACTTTCATGCATGATAAGAGATGGTAAGGGGTGCGTGGTTTCAATTCCGAGTTCACGTGTTTAATCCCCGACGCGCTCATATTTCTTTCTTAAAATATGTTTGAAGAGACATCTCTCCCTCTAAATCTCGTCTTTTTTTTAACCTTCGTGATAAGAAAATAACATATGTTCTGCAAGGGATGAGACATGATATAGAGAAAAATGGTTGTTACTGAATTTCTCTACAATTTGTACGTGTTGCTTGCTTGCCGTCCTTACAAAATGGAAGGAATACAATATAGCCATACAGGAGTATGTTGTTCAGAACATATGTTCCATGTTTCCAAGTTGGTTAAATAAAATTCTTATTTTATCGATCAAGTGACAAATACTTCTAAACCTGGGAGGTGTGAAGTCACTATTGTCCATCAGACTAAAACCTGATTTTGTTAAATATTTATTTTGTACTCTAGCTAGAAACACCCGGCTGTGTACACCATTTGCGTGATATATTCAAACTATTATGGTATTCTCCAATCATAAATATTTAAATATTTAACGTTATACTTTTTAAAATTATGAAATTTTATATCAGAACAACTTTATAAAATCTGATATTGTGATGGTACTTTCAATGAAAAGTATGTATGATATTTCCTTTATTTTTACAGAAAGCATTTGAGAAATTATTGATTGTTCGAATTTTAAAAGTTTTAATTGAATGTTATCCTAAACGTTAAATTTCTTTATCGTAAGGGGAGTCCAAACAATACATATAAATATGGTTGAAAAAGATGGTTATCACCGATCAAAGCAATAGAAATTTCTTTAAAAGAATTAAAATGTAAAATTTGAAATATTCCAACCAGCTACATCCGTCAAATGGCGGGCAATGCTTTATTTGTCAAATTAAATAAGAAAAAAAAAACTAACACCAATAAAGACAAACACCTAGTTTTTTCCCATTAGAAATGTGGAGAAAAAATGGTTGTTGGTTGAAATCTTATGCATCAGTAGGATACATTGGCAGTTTATGCAGGAAATTGTAGCATTTAGCCAAATGGCCACTTTGTTTTTTTGTGATCTTTCTGCATCAATCTTACGGGCATTCGATGGTGATGATATTACAAATGTGTACACGTACAAATACCAGTCATTACCTTCAATTTAAATCTATTTTTTTTCTGGGGTTATATATTTTTTATATCTAAATTTTGAGAAAGCTAGCATCTTTTTTTCTTAAAAAAATCGTTTTTATATATTTATTTAAGGTAGCAGCATCTCATGGAACTGACCTACCGTAGACACCCTCTTGACCTGCCCGGTTTCTCTCGAACACACCAAAATGGTACTAAAATTACAAATATACCATCCTACAGATCCGCTTAACCCTCAAATGGACTAATTTGTAATAACAAAAAATATTAGGGTCTCCAACAGAAACGTGTAGGGCTGCTTGCGCCGCTGTGTTTTTTGTGCTTTGGTTTATATATAAACTGGGGCCAAGAACTCGAGGGGGGAAGAGGAGCAGGTGGTGGAGGCGGAGCAGCAGCGGCAGCAGCAGCGGCGGCTGAGGCGGCGGTTGGTGAGCGAGCGCGAGGAGAGCGAGGGAGGAGAGGAGAGGTGGGAGGGAGTGGCCCCGCCGCCGTCTTCTTGGCCGGAGATGGGCGACTCCGGCGGCTCCGTCGTGTCGGTGGACGTCGAGCGCATCTCCTTCGGCGGCAAGGTTGGTGGTGCTCCTCCCCCTTCTTGATTTGCTCCCCTGGAGGCCCGATTTGGTTGGACGCATTGGATGGAGGGGAGCGCCGGATGATGGGAGCTTGGTGGCGGGATTCAGTTCGGTTCTTGGAAGAGCTTTTTTTTTTAATTTATTTTTTTGCTGAGATTTTGGTGTTTGGCTGGGTTTGGGGGTTCCAGAGAGAAGGGGGGGCGTTTCTTCAGGTTTGTAGTAGTAGTATCTTTTTAGCAGTTGTGTTCTTGTCTGCTGGTTGCATTGTGTTGTGGGTTTAGATCGAATCCACCCCGAATTCTTGTAGGATTTCAGGTTGCTCGAGTTCGTTTCCTGATTTTGTTTTTCTTTTTCTTGTCGATTTCTTGCTTTGGGGGAGTAGTATCTGACTGTGATCTGAGGGGGCGGTTGCTTGTGGATTTTTCTCATCTTTTCCTGTGATTATGACTGATCTTCCACTGGTTCACCGTCTGCGTCTTGATAACATCAGAGTGATAATTTTTTTTTCTCTTTGGAGGTGTCCACCTGGCCTCTACCTATCTTTCTTTGTCCATGGCGAATTTCTTTTCTTCGAGTTTTGTGGTTCTCGATTTGGTTGCGTGGCCCTGTTAGTTTACTGCTTGGCGTGCTAATCAGTTAGGCTAATTAATCACCTACTTTGTGTGCTTATCACCAAGAAGAAAAAAGAAAAGAGAGGGGAACAAACCATAAAGTATTCGATTTTGATGCTTTTGGGTTGTTGTTTGGGTGTCCCAACTGCCCTTTTTTCTTTGGTGTTTCTTTAATTTGTAGTATCACTTTTTTTTTATTGGTTGGGCTTTCTAGCACCAATTTCAATTAATTATCTCCCTGCTGATAGGAAGCCCTTTAGTTGTTGGAATTAAGGTCCCTGTTGTGTCCAGATGTTTATCCAATTTTGCTTATTGATCCGTAATCGCAAATTTCCAAGGCACCTTAATTTTGCTTTATTCATAAATCGAAAGTAGTTGTAGAAAAGAATTAGGTTAGTCCTGCAAGTATATCTAGGGTGAAAGGCCATGTGAGTGTTCACTAAGTTTCAAACTTCCATTGTTGAATTTTTAGGGTCACAAATTTGTGGACAAAATCCTAAATCTATTGCATTTTTAAACTTTACACTGAATATGCTGATAGCAACCTCTTATTCAGTACCAACTGAAACTCTTCTGAAACACACGTACACATACACATACACACAGGTCAAGGGCACCTATAATTCTACTGCCAATGATATGGATAGCAAGCGCATTCAGTATCATGGTTACTTTAAAATATTATTGTGTATCATCTGTTAAAAATGGTTAAATGGGTAATGCAACTTCAAGTCCCTATCATGCGAAGTTCTTTAGTTATTATTGGTTATTAAATAGGGTGCTTTTGATGTAATCATCATATTAACGCTTCCCTGCCACTTGTTGCCATAGACAGATAGAAAATAACAGATAAATTGCATTGCCCTAGCCATGGTTTTCCTCAAAAGTATGCTTCTATTCTACCATTTGCTTGTGAAATGGTGGAGGAATCACTTCTAGTGCTCTGTTTCACCTTTTTCTTAGGCCTAAGGGATGTGGTATTGGAATCATCACTTTAGCACCACATATCATAATGGAGTTATTATTATCCTTCTGTCACTCATCAGACCTTGGCCACATTTAGCATGAGTGAAACAACATGCAGGAAACAGATACTCACTATTCATATCCTTTTTTCAGTTTAGAGAAACTTTTCCTTCAAGCATCCGGGGGCCACTGCTAGTTCGAAATGGTCCTATTACCTACTAGAATGCAAATTGCATCATAATTCCTAAGCGTCCTGAGACGCACTTGATAGTGCAGTGGCAAGGGATGTGTGGTTTCAACCCCAAGGTCCCATGTTCAATCCCCAACACGCTCACAATTTCTTCTTAAAAAATGTTTGGAGGGACGTCTCTCCCTCCAAATCTCGTTTTTTTTTTTAATTCCTAAGCATCCCATAATTCACTGTAGGGCATGTAAATAGATGCCATTGCTATTTTCTACCATGAGCTTCACTTGGTTGTAGTCTCCTGCTATATTTTCTCCTATGTTTTCATGATTTTCTTTGGATCAAAGTACTACATGGAGAATTTTCTACTATTGGACGTAGGGCTAAGGTTAGTATTGTTCTTACCATTTTGATCCTAATTCGTGTGACGCTTTCCTTGCTTTCTTCAGGAACATCATATACAAACAAACCATGGTTCTGTATCTGTTGCGGTGTATGGCGACCATGATAAGCCAGCACTTGTTACTTATCCCGATATTGCATTGAATCGTAAGTTTTATAGTTCCATGTAGTGCCGTAAACTATTTGAGGTGGAGTTGTGTTTAGTTATAAAAGAATTATGCAATATAGTCACTTATGTCCGTATTTCTTTTATCAGATATGTCATGCTTCCAAGGGCTACTATTCTGCCCTGAAGCATCTTCATTACTGCTGCATAATTTTTGTATTTACCATATCAGCCCCCCAGGACATGAGGTTCGTAGCTGTCTCTAGTATTTATTATATAATGAATTATTTGATAGTTGTATTTATTAAGCTTTGATGCATTAGGCAATTTCAGATCTATCTTTTTGATGAATGCATTGTTTTATTGTCCTTTGCAAGAATCTTGCAGTTAGGAGCAGCTCCAGTTTCACCAAGCAGTCCTGTGGCATCTGTTGATGAGTTAGCGGATCAGGTTTCAGATGTACTTGATTTTTTTGGGTATATCTTCTCAAGTTATCTGAAAAAATTGAGTCTTTTAGATGTTTATCAACATTGCTGAAGTAGCTTTCTTGTTTTTTGGCCTTTTACAGACTGGGTCCTGTTATGTGCTTAGGTGTCACTGCTGGCGCATACATCCTTACTCTATTTGCAGTACGTATTTATTCAAATGTAATGTGTTTTGTAGTACTTGCACAATTGTATTTAATTTATTTATATTCTTTGTTGCAGACGAAGTATAGGGAGCGAGTACTAGGTCTTATCCTAGTTTCCCCTCTATGCAGGACCCCTTCTTGGACTGAATGGTTTCATAATAAGGTACCTTTCCAATATCTAGCCTACAGTGTTCAACTTTGTGTACTACAAATGTAGAATAATAAGTCTTCAACTAACAAATTCATTTCATAGGTGATGTCAAATTTGCTATATTATTATGGGATGTGCAACATGGTAAAAGACTGTTTGCTACAACGATACTTCAGCAAGGTAGCAAGCAGGATTCGTTTACTCCATATGCTCTTTGCTGGGATGTCCTTTGAACATTTTCTTGCTGTAATTTTCCAACACTCAGGGAGTGCAGGGATGCTCTGCTGTACCCGAATCAGACATTGTGCAGGCGTCTAGAAGTGTGCGTACTATCGAAAACATTTCATTGCCCCTTATCAATTATTGTGGTTGTTTATAAATTTATGAGTTTAACTTTAATCTCTGTTCTCTTGATTCATGTAGTTTCTAGATCAACGGCAAAGCATGAATGTGTGGCGGTTTATCCACACAATCAATGAGTATGTTTCCCTTTTTGCTTTTTAAATTCTTGTATGGAGCATTTAGCCATTTATCCAAGCTGATGGAATCAAAACTTTGTGCTTCTTTCCAGGAGACATGATTTAACAGAAAGCTTAAAGGAGCTGCAGTGCAGAACTCTAATATTTGTTGGCCAGAACTCTCAGTTCCATGCTGAGGCTGTTCATATGACCTCAAAGCTTGATGAGAGATATAGTGCTCTCGTAGAGGTGCTTATTTAACTGATAGTTTGATCCAACGAAAAAAAAATATGTTCTTTGGTTTGAAATGTCAATCTTGATGTCTTTGCAGGTACAAGGATGTGGATCTGTTGTGACAGAGGAGCAACCGCATGCAATGCTTATGCCGCTGGAGTACTTCCTCATGGGATACGGATTGTACAGACCAAGCCAGATAAGCTGCAGCCCTCGTAGCCCCTTGAACCCGTTTTGTATATCGCCAGAACTCCTCTCGCCCGAGAGCATGGGGGTTAAGCTAAAGCCAATCAAGACGCGGGCCAATCTTGAAGTTTAGGATCGAAAGAGAAAAAAAAAAAAGGTGAAATGTGAGAACTTAGGCTAACCCGGCAGTCGCTGTACTAATATATCTTCCTAAGTTTTGGAGGCGAGTGAGTTGGTTGTTGTTATTGTGATGTAGATATTGAGGAAAAAAGCTTAGGTTGAGGCGGGGTTTCCATTCCATTGGTTCGTAGCATTAAACAGCTGTAAATTGTTACAGATTATTTGTCAAAGCTAAAGAGAAAATAAGGGAAGATGAGCTGTTGCCAATTATTAGGTACTCTGATGTTGTCTCTTCTCCTCTTGCCAGTACCATCCTACTCTGATTATTTGCTCTCATGTCATGAGCTAGACTGATGAACCAAATGTTGTCTCCAAAAGCATACCTAGAATTTTGGTCCATTTGCACTCAATTATTGAACTAGGTTGAGTGTCTTGTATCTTTGTCAAGTTGGACATAGGCCATATCTGTCTGGTACTATGCTGGTCATCACTTTCTCTGTATCCTGTTGGTATTAGGTGATGTTCAGTTAGTGTGTCAACAAGCATGATACATACTGATATGATGGAGGGCAGATATATATTGCAGTATGAGGAATGTATTGGAAGACATGCACACGTTGTATAGTGGATAGAGTGCTGTAACCACTACTGGTACTAGATAGGAGTAGGTATGTGCAATTGCTTTCTTTTGCCATTCTGTGTTCCCTGCTGTGAAAGTTGCAATCACTGATTTGACAAAGGTTAGAGAACCCTATTTTTGTGAATTGATCCCAGAATATTGGTTTTCATGTAGTAGTACTCAACGTGTTGGGGTTAGAGTTTGTGGCCTTTCTCGTTCGGTTAAGGCTTCTTTTTAATAAAAAGCTGTGGGGGTGGGGTCTTTTTTTCCCGCCGATTGAGTTATTATAATACTCCACCGGTCGTTTTCGGTGAAATTTTAAAAATTTAGACAATTAAATAAGTTTATGATATTTGTATTACTTTTCGAGGCAAATCTATGCATATTCTTTCTTCTTCATTTTTTTTCAAGTTAGCCTTTGATAATTTGTTGAGTCGGAATTTGAAAATTTTGATCGAATCTTGCCTTAAATGTTAAATCGGAGATATTTTCATGGTAAAGGGAAATGAAGGCTTCTAAGAATCACTGCTTGAAGAAAATGAAGGTTCATCTTCGCGGCTTCACCTCTTCAGTTCTCTTCGCATATTGTCTTCTATTTCATACTTTTGTGGACATATCCTGAAGACAATATGCATCTGAATTGGCTGCAACTTCGTTTCAGATTTGAATGGACTTTTTTTGGAACCATTTGTGCTGATGCTGTTTCCCCCCTTGAAAGTAGCTTTAGTAGATATGTTGAATTTACTAATCTCATCCTTGATTATCTTGAATTTACTCCAGACTTGGAGCTGTTTTTCCTTTTTATTTATTCCGCTTTCGATTCTAGACACTTTGTAAGAGAAGGCTAATAGTACAGTCAACAATTAGCAATAAGCTCATATTAAAGATAACATGTATAATAGATGGACTATAGGATTGTCTTTAGTTTTTTTCTTCTCTCTCACATATGCGTTTAATGCATTTAACTTAAGTATGTAAAGATATAGTTCTTGCACAAATCTTTATCCACATAGTTGGTTTATAACCTACTATTAAACTTACTTTAAAAGCAAGTTTAATAGTAGAGCCAATTATTGGCTTATAGTTTATACTATTAGAGTTAACATATAAAGTAGATGATATTAGAGTTAACATATAAAGTAGATGAATTATAAGTTTGTCTCTAATTTTTTTCCCTCTTATCTTTCTCTAATTATAAGTAGATGAATGCATTTTTCGTGAAGTATGTGAGGAGCTAACTCTTATATAAGAGGCAACAATCTTCATTTTTAGAGTAAGTACAATAGTCCTACCGTAAAAACACCACATCAAATTATTAGGTGAGTTGGAAGTAAAAAGAGGGAACTAAATAAAAGCACAATTCCAACTCAACGTAGGTCCAAGAATCCTATCCACCTCTATTGCTCTCGAAGCCAAACAAACCAACCAATGTGGATGGGAGAAGAGAGTTGACCCACCATATAATAAAATAAAATTTATAAGTAACATATAATCCTATAGATTAGAGCTAGTTATCTATAGGTGATATGTATAATTATTGGAGCTAAGCAGCTGGCTATGCTATTAGTCTTACTTGTATACTCCTCTCCCCTCCACGTAAATTTATAGTTGGTTATAGCCTACTATTAAGCTTGCTTTAACGTGTTAGTGACTTGTGAGTTGTTGCACAGTGATTCGTGCAGCATTGTGGTGCCAAATTGCCAATGTGGCATCGTGGAAAGATTTAGGATCTTATCGTTTACCCTATAAAGAGTAAGCCATTGCTAAGATTTAAATTTTATTTTAGGACTTTTTAACGTGGTATTTTCTTCAACACTGACTCTTGAATCACTAAGAACAAGTTGTACAAGTTGTACTCACAATTCTTTTTCGCTAATAAGCTGTAATAATTTTATAATCAGCTCTTAGACAACCGATGGGGCTATTAGGGCCACGAAAGGAAGAGATGTAGTTGCTTCTATCTGAGCAGGCAACAAGTTATGATTGCCCGATCAAATGTGCTATTCTCTCCCTCCCATATGATCAAGTTCATAAGAAAAACATAGCAATATTTACAACACCAAATAAGTTTCATCAAATTCACCATTGAATATATTTTCATATCATATGTATTTTGTATTGAAAATTTTGTTAGTTGTTTTATAAACTCAATCAATATTAATTAAAAATGTTTGAGTTTTTTTAGATAATGGATGTACACAACCATAAATGAGTTTGAGTTAGGACAAACTCAAAATCAATTACTACTGTAATATGGAACGAAAAAGTAGACAATAAAAGTGGTCCGGTACCAAAGTTTCTGCAATGATGCTCACTGTAGCTCAATAAAAGACCATTGTTCAATGTGGTAGCCATCTGCAATTACAGCAGTGGACATGTGTCCACCATATTAAAATTTTGACGTGTGTCAGGGTTACAGGTAAGGTTGTCACACCCCAATCTGATACCGCCGTACAACGGCACCTGACAAGAGCGTGTCGTAGGGAAAACGGCGCGAACCGCTTCCTACGAAACCGCGATCTCGGTACCAGTCCCAGGACATAGTGCTGGTACCCACGGTGACAAATATAAATCATAGCAATCTTTAAAATAAATAGAGGACTTATTTACCTTAACTTAGGTTGCAGCTCAGACAGCCCGAGAATACAACCGACGACACGGACGAGGCGAACACCAACAACAGCAGCAGCGGAACCAACGGTCTAATACCCAACACCACAGGCGACGGCTGGGAACCAGGACGAAACCCTAATCTTCACTTCACTTTATCTTCTCTTCAGGGCGGAGGAACTATATATATATATATATATATATATATATATATATATATATATATATATATATATATATATATATATATATAGAGCAAGGGTGAGTACTTTCGTACTCAGCAAGTCACGGGAACTTAGGTGTTTAATGCAAGCTTGGAAGAGAGGCAAGGTTGTTTTGCAAATCTTTTATTTGAAGACATTTTGAAATCACTAAGTGATTTATTTCTTTCTAAGTTTGGGCCGAAAAGAGACTTGCGTCTCGATTCGACTTTAAGAGATGTTTTTCAACAGCTCATTTGGCAATGTACCGACCTCCCGGGTCAGATCATTACTTCTCGGCTCCCAGAGCCATTCCACTTGATTAATCGGCTCCCAGAGCCTTTTTCATTTTCTCGGACTCCCAGAGTCCAGCTACCCAGCAGCACAACAATCCGCTTCCACTCGGGAAGCCTAGTCTATGATGCCCGCAGACATCCCGAATCACACAGATTCGTTTCTGACCACTCAGGTCGTCCATCTGCCACATAGGCTGATTCTGGTTACGATTCCCACACCACAACAACTTTTCACAAGCACAGGCAAACAAATCTACGCAACGGGAACCACCTCACATCCGCCCATGACCGTGGGCACGGCTGTTCGAACAGTTAGTTAACCTCTGCAGAGGGGTACACTTTACCCACAAGACACGAACTTACTCCAGACACTGGCCGGTGTCAGAGGTTCGCGACAAAGCCTTTCCCAAGCCGACCCAGGGTTACCTCATGCCACATAGAAGGATCAAATCCTCACGTAAGTATAGGCCATTTTAGGCATTCACAAATCAACTCCAACCACCTTGATCGGTAAGTGAGCAAGCTTCTCGTCCTTGCCTTACCAGGAACCCGGTTTGTCCGACCCCGCCCCGGCGTTCCCAACTATTGGCATGCGAGGTTTCCCTGAACCGACTAGTTACTTAGCCAGGGTGTCCCATTCCACCTTGTGGTTGCACTTTGATTATGTTCGATGAGTTTCCCACAGGAATCGGTCCTTATATGCGAATACGGGACAGTGCCACGTAGGCACAACCCCCGCATCGCGAGTTTTCACAATTCATTTTATTTTCAAACACACCGACACCACATGTCGGGTTTTGAAGGCTTCACAAACCCATTTCCCAAGTTTTCGACAAACAACGGTGTATGTGGGATATTTGGTATACGCGCTCAGAGAGCACGAATACCGAGGTACCACAAGGGTGGAGCGACAAGGAATCAGGGTAGTACGACCTACAGAAATTAGTGCGACTACTGGGTAGGTCCGTCGGTTTGGCACGCAAACCGAGGCCAAGCAAGTTAAGTGTGTGATTCTAATAATGCAAGTTGCAAACAAAATAATAATGACTTTTCAATTATAGGAGCAATTGATCAAAGGGTGACTTGCCTTGCTCAAGGTCTTCACGAAGCTTCACGAATCTTCGAGAAAACCCGCGATCGACGAAAATCCGATAACCGCAACTATACGCAAACAATCGAAAACCTAAACAAAAGACCAAAAGAAAGATCCTATTTAGACCTATTAGTAGTGCCATTAAATAGGTCTCAATTTTACGGAATTACTGGAAGTGGAACGGAGGCGATCGGAGCTACGGATCGAGGGATATGAATTTTGGAGGTCTAAATGGATTTTCTGGACAAGGAAAAGGAATTATTAATTCCCTTGGAAAAGAAAAGGAAGGAGGGATCGGATTTAGACTTCCTCGGGCGACTTAGGCGCGGCCCGAGGGATTCACAAGGCTTGGCCGGCCATTGGGCCGAGCGCGGCCACGGGGAGGCGGCCCATTAGGGCGCGCGGGGAGAGAGGGAGGCCCGATGGGGTGGGC